TTGTATCCTAGAGGAAAAACACGACCCAAACACCCCAAAAACGTCCGAATCTCTGGAAAGAATAAAGAAATACCGAAGACGTGAATATGCGCAATGAAAAGCAGTCACAAAATGCAGCGAGTTTTCAGTTTGTTAGTTCAAAAACTTTCTTTTCGAAGGCTCTTTCGCGCCATTGTTTGCCGCGGCGGGTGCGGCTTATATATGGTGCGGCTTATAAACCGGAAAATAGGAAAATATATATATATATATATATTAGGCTGGAAACTAAGTTTTGCAACTGGTTTCATAACTTCACTCTCTTTGGATATGGCGCACTCAAACTTTGGCATTATGTAGAAGGCAATGTGAGCTACAAGTGAGCACAAATTGTCTATTTGAACACGAAATAGAAAAGTTTCACGCGTTTTTCGAAAACTAGTGAAGTTTGAGAATTTTTGGGGTTTCAAGCTGAAATGAAGCCTTTGGCAGCCAAACGCGAATATCACATTCATTTGTTGAATCAACGCCTTTTCCTTGTTTAGGGTAAGACCCCATATCGTACACCTTTAGTAATCCTATAAAAAAGCCCTTATCACGCAATTTCACTATCATTTTCGTGATCAGCATGTCGGATAACACCCCTATGCCTAGTTTCAGCCAAATCCGTCAAACTTTGAATTTTTCCCCTTTATACCATGCACCTACCGTATCCCTCACTGCGACGTCAGAATTTGGTAAGACAGCAGCTGCGCTTGTAACGCTAGCCTGCGTAATAACCAACGCAGTGGCAAAGTTTGAGTGCGCCATGTTGAGTGAGAGGGAAGTTATGAGACCAGCAAAACTTAGTTTCCAACCTATATGTATCAGTGGCGGTCCCAGGTCAGACCGGGGGGGGGGGCGACAAAAAATTTTTTCAAATGAAGGTGCGTGGCGTTAGCCACGCGCTCCAAAAAATTTTTTAGGGTGCTTCTCAAAATTTTTGCGGGTCCCCAACTCTTAAAATCTGGAAAAAAGGGGCCTGGCGTCAGCCACGCCCCCGAAAAAAATTTTTGTAAGGCTAATTTGAATTTTTAAGAAATTTTAAAAATTATTTTAATTATTTACAAAAAAAACAAGTCGTTTGCACATTTTTATAACCCATATAGGTCACAAGTTAGTAGCGTCTGATAGTGGCTTTCGGAGCCTTCTGATCTACATAGGCTATTTTCAATTTTTAGATTTCATACTTCCAACACACAAATTAAAGTCCTTTTTTACACGAACATCACAAACAATTAGGTTGTACTGGATAAAGTTTTTTTTTGTTCAGACAATAGTTTGTCAGTGAAAATCTCTCTATTATCAACTCTTCAGCAAGATCTACGTTCTGGCTTGCACTTGTAGTTGTTCTCTTACATATTGTGAAGCTTCAGAGTTATCTATCAAGGCAATCATGAACATCCAGAAATATCTCAAGTTACTGCAATGCGTAGCTCTTCTCGATCTTGTTTCTCATAAGGCTATTGATTTCTAACAAGGCACTAATTTTGTTTGGGAGGGCTATTTTTTCCTTATCAGCATCACTTCTCTTCGCATCTGTTGTAGCGAATATTATGTAAGATTAGCAACTCAGCTATAAGCTTCTTTTGAAAATTACGTGCTGATATCGCGGTCACTGCTGTTATCGAAAAAAGTGGATTGGATGGCTGGATAATCTTAAAAAAGCGTAATCTGTAGCTATAAAAGTTGTAGTCCTTGATAGTAACTAGAAATGGAAAAGGTTGAAAATGGACGGTCCCAAGTAAATGGCTCAAGCATTGATGAAGATGAAAGTGAATCAGAGAACAGCCTCTTGGAGTTTTGAATCCCAGTTAGTTTAAGAAGTTCGAGGTCACTTTTACTATCTCTTCTTATAACTCAAATTCTCTTGTAGATATTTCAAAGGCAGTGGGTGCGCGTATGGATATGACATGGGTAAATTGTACAGGGTGTCCCAAAAGTAAGTACACACTTTTTAATCGTCAATATCTCTCTTCCCAATTGGTCTTTTTTGCCAGTCAAGTATCATTCTGCAGAGGAGGCTTCAACTTAGATTTACAGTATCGACCGAATTACCGATGGCTCTTCCTTAATGGTTCCATTTGCTGAAAGTTCTTACCGTAATCCTACAGTAACGAAAAGCAATCGGTGATTCACTCGACACCGTAACTTTAAGTTGAAACCTCCTCTACAGAATGGTATTTAACTGGCAAAAAGAGACCCATTGGGGAAGAGAGATAATGAAGATTGAAAAGTGTGTACTTACTTTTGAGACTTTTATAAATGTAAAAGTATATACGATTCATGACACGCAAAGATTGCGCGCCGCTGCGTCCGGCCAAGATAGCTCGTGTATGAGAGACAGCAGATGGTGAGAAAAGCGGAAGAGCGCTCGATCAGAGAAACGCCGATACGTCCGCAGTCTTTGTGTGCTATGAATCGCCTATACCTGTCAAATGGAATAAAAAAACGAAACAGAAGCTGTTGACGAACTGTTGCTAAAAGTTTCTCAAACTCAACCATGAATCAAACAAGATAGATTCAATTAGCATGACATCAGAGTTAAGCATGGGCTAGATGACAGCTTCTGGTCCGTGAACTTAAAATAACGACGAGGTATTTATTTCGATTCTTTGCTATTCAAAATGCTAAAAATAAAGTATATGCTGGAGAAGATGCTTCAAGAACATATGATGGCCGCAAAAAACAAAACTAATGCAAGATATTGAATTGTAGCTAGCTGCTGTTCTGCGTTGCATTCGAACTTCTTGGAGAGAACAAACTAGCAACAGCAACGATTCTGTTCAGATGATCGCCGGGGGCAGGCATCCATGCGATTTTGAGCAAGCGGGCACCAAAAAAATAGTTTGCTGTTTTCTTGCTGTCCGCTTGCAGAAATATGGAATAATTTTGGCCAAATTTTAGATGAACGCTCGGAGAACTACCGCGTCTTTCTATGTAGAAGTTGCGGCTCTTCGCGAGAATATGCAAAATCATTTGGGAGCCGCACGGTTTTTTTCGAAGGATCGCACAGCCCTTTGGTACTTCTGCTGAAGGAAGGTACCCCAAACTTGGGTAATTAAATTACCGATGACACTTCTGCCACATAGAGCCTCACCTCTGCCTGACGTACGCATAAAACTGCGTAAAAAGAGTGCGAGCGCTTGCTGAATTGGCTACCGGTTGAGGAAATTATTTGCCGAGCGCTTCCAGAAAATGCTGTATTGCTTCCCGCTGGCAGAATATGCGACCATAAAGGAAGTGCCGCCCGCTGAAGGTTTGGCCACGCTCAAAGTTCTGCTCACCGCCTACAGAAAAAGCGCGAGTTTGCGAACCACCTGCCCGATTATCTGATTGGCTGCATGGGCCATAACTCCACCCATTTTGGCGGCAATTGGCTGATGGGCTCAAACAGTTAGTCGCAACTCGTTGGCGATCCCCTTCAGCAATCTCCAAGACTGGAAAATGCCACGGAAAGCAATTTCTTAGCTTTGCAAGCAACCCTAGACTTACAACGGAATGGTCAGAAGTCGAAGTGGGCAATCCAAACAAGCTGCATACCATTAGAACGCATAGAACGCTGATTTTGAATCTGCCTTCCGCATCTACAGAGCGCCTTTGTAGGCGAAGTTATGAGCAGCATTGCTGCGAAAAATCAAAAATACACAAAAATTGCGAAATTAGGCACACTATTGCTCTTTCAGCTCATCCCTAAATACGCGTCATATGAAGTGGCCTACTTGCATGTTTTGATTCAATACTGAGCCGGTAATGGCTTTGTACGGCCAAGTTTAGCTTTGCACGGCCAAGTTTAACCTTTACACGCAGAATTTCTTAGCAAAATAATGACCTTTAACGGCATATAAATTCATCCAAAGCGCTCTGCAGGTAAGAAAAGCAGATTTAGAGTCAGCGTTATATGCTGCATCTAAAGAGTGTATAATTTGCTCGAATTGGCCACTTCCACTTCTGACCATTCCCTTGTTAGCTCATAAAGAAGGTTAAGGAGGGATGGAAAGCTCGGAATTGCAATCCCAAGTTACTACCTCTAAAGAATTTTCAATAGGACCAAGTGATGAATGTTATATGTGTACTGCACATATTGGTGCACGTTGAGATAGGATTTTAATTCACCTCTGCATCCAGTAAAGCGCTCATTCAAGGGACGTGTAAATGATCTGAAGGTAGAAATGGGAAATTTCCAATTTCCCAAGGTTGTTTACCATAAGCCAGGAAATTGCGGAGTTATCCCTATCATAATGATAATTTCTTGTGACAACGTGTAGGGAAGGGGGCAAGTGGCGTAGTGTTGTGAGGCGCCGCTATGACCAGACGGACAAAGGACGATTCCTGCTCCTGCGCCAACCAAGCCCTCTTTTTTCCGGAGTCGGTAAATTGGTACCAGGGTACTCTGGGAGGATGAAAGCATTGACTTGATGAGCGGCTGGCCCCCGCAAGTCATTGTAAAAGACCTGCAAACACTCACCTGCTCAAAGCATGCCCGCAGAGGGTATTGAAGACTCCGAGTTCTTTACCCTCCAATCTTTAGCATGAGAGAAAGCAAAAAAGCAAGAAACGCAGGTGCCGAATTTTGCATTATTATCTGTAAAACTCCCAACCTGCAAAAACAGAGAAAATCAAAGCTCTTGTGGAAACAAGAAATAAAAAGAAAAGATTTCTTTGATTTGAAGATTGACTTTCGCTGAAAAAGATTCCTTCTTTTGAGCAATGTGACTATTTACCGACTCCGGAAAAAAGAGGGCTTGGTTGGCGCAGGAGCAGGAATCGTCCTTTGTCCGTCTGGTCATAGCGGCGCCTCACAACACTACGCCACTTGCCCCCTTCCCTACACGTTGTCACAAGAAATTATCATTATGATAGGGATAACTCCGCAATTTCCTGGCTTATGGTAAACAACCTTGGGAAATTGGAAATTTCCCATTTCTACCTTCAGATCATTTACACGTCCCTTGAATGAGCGCTTTACTGGATGCAGAGGTGAATAGCTCTAATGCAAAGCCGTCTTCTTGCAAACGAACGATCTCTCTTTTTCGGCGCATATGTAGTCGTCCCATTTTTGATAGAATACAGGATAATGTGAGTCGAGACGATTATCACTGTACAGCTGAAATGAAAGCCCATAATACAGAATCCTCCAGAAATGATTGAAATTAATTTTTAGAAAAGAAGTTTGAACTAGAGCCCGGCACGACGTCTACACAGCGGCAGTCCTCCTGAAAACGTGTTCAGTAAAAAATTCACATTTTTCCCAGAAAGCCAGCTGCTCAGCATTCACTTTGAAATCTAGTTTTTCAAAGTTTTCGGCACCTAATAAAAATGGGGATTTCGGAACCACATTTCAATTGCGTTATGAAGTTTAGATGCAGAACAAAGTACAAAATTTATTCATGAAACCTATGAGTGGAGGCTTTACAAGTATTCCTACAACTTCGTTCGTTTGTTATCATTAGCCCTTCACCCGCATACAAAACGTATCTAGTGCGTCACAATGACATTCTTCCACCTTTGAGTAGTAAAAGTAAAGCTTGCCACACCTTCGCACCACATAGTTTTCCAAAATTTTTTCAGATTATTGCTAGCTTTTTTAGTTTACCCGCTTGCAGTTCATACAGTTTTTGGATTTGCCCATTGAGCAAAATTGCTTTTGAAGCAAGTTGGCCGGTTGTGCTTGTTCTTCATGATCTGGGAATATTTGAGAGGTGTGTATGTGCATTGCACTGCATTGTATGTGGTATCTCCTTTTCTTAGGTTTTCTTAGGTCATTCGGAAAGTTTTTTTTTGTTTCCGCCCCATTAAATTCAAACGAGCGCATTTTTTTCCAGATCCAACCTTCTTCCACCAAATAAATTTCATTGCGTTCAAAATATTCCTGGCAACACTCTTGAGATTTCCTGCTTGATATGTCCTTGCAGACGCGACAATGCTAGTGCGTCAACAATTACCACTGCGAGGTAGTGAGCTCGTTTTCTAGTGTTTTCTTGGCTTATTCTTTGCTTTTTAGGTAACTCGTTGCTGATAAAGGACAAGCAGGTATGTTTAAGAGTAATTTATATTTTCTAAATATTTAGATCGTCGCTAATTCTTAGGTGTCTACGTGGAAGCCACATCGCGTCAGTTTCATTTGTATTTTTGTCGCATGATGCCTCTTTTTTCTCGTGAAACATTTCTCTGAGTTAGTAGGCTCTGCAGCAACTACGGATTTGGGAGTTTGGGATAAAAACAGTAAGTCACACATAAAAGCCTATTAGCGTTCAACAAAAGCTTCACAAGAAAAAAGAGGCATCACGTGACAAAAAATACAAAGGAAATGACGCGAAGAGGCATGAAGTGACAGAAAATACGCGTGAAATTGACGACGACGTAGTTTTCACATAAGTACTCGGAATAAGCGATGATTTACATACTCAGAAAACAGAAACTTCTTATTAGCTTACCTTTTTCTCCTTTATCAGCAAGGACTGATCTAAAAAACAAAAAATAGCAAAAGAAAACAATGTAGAACTCCTGCTGAAACTCGTAGTGGCATTTAATGACGCATAAACGTTGTCGCGTCTGCAGGGACACTATATTCAGGAAATGTACTCTACTGTAATTTTTATTGCGCCCTATTATTTTTTGCTAGGCGCCAAGGATTTGAAAAATTGGTGTTTGGTAAAGGAAGGCCTAAAGAGTTTGATAAATAAACAGGAACCTCGACGTACAGTTAATCTTGTGAGAGCCACCTTTCTTACATGTGGTTCGGAGGCATCATGGGCCAGGATGGCACCTCTCAGAGGTCATGCGTGCAAGTCTATTCAGTTTCGAATTTTGACAAATGGTCTTTAGAGCAATATCATACTGCTCTGCTTTGTACAATCGCATCTTAGCAAGTTTATAGCATGCAAGACAGTAGGATTACACTGGTTTGAGTCCACCGCCATTTGGAACGACTGATTGTTCATGGTCCTGTGTTCGATACTTGTTACAGATGATCAACTCAATGTTGCTTTTTATGGCCGAAATTATGTGCAACGAAAGCAAAATCATCGCTCCCTTATCTGCGAGAGAGACAATTTGTGGTGTATAGATCGCTGAGATTTTTCGCCATTGCAGCTTTAGCGAACGTGGCTTCTAATGGGGCTATATGACACTTCAAGGCCTGCTAATAATATTACGAAGCTATTTTTGCGATTTGCTCTAACGGATTTGAGATGCTCGCTTACATGGCAGGAACACCTTCCAAAACATCGCAAAAAATTAGCTTTCACTTCTCCAGCACTGAATTTTTTGAAGCACACTCACACTAACTTCAAGAAAGACTTAGCCTTGGCGAATGCATTGCACACAATGGGTTCCCTCAGCTGCCTTACATTCAAGAATGAGCATAGATGCAGTTATTCGAAAATCGCGTTTGAAAACTAAAAAAAAATTAAAATCAAAATTAAATTAAAGCCGCATAAATCCCCGCAATGCGTCTTCTACAAGTTCGGTAAAATCCTCAGAAACTAACTTCCTGTGCATTTATAACAAACCCTATCGGCCCCTCGGCGCTTTCTCAAAATATCACACCAACATCAAAGGCGCAGAAAGCGGAAAAAGCTTTCCGAATGGCCTAATATATTCAAAAAATATCTAGCTTGACATTTCGTCGGGAGTAGGCGACTGCGATTTATATACAAGCCGTACCGGAAAGATAACGCTAATTTCTCAATAATATGCAAAACGGAATATGCAAAATCATTGGGGACGCAAGTCTTCTGTGAAGAACTACGCAGCCCGTAGGTATATTTCAATGCTGCCATGTAGAGTGTTACCTTTGCTTGGGATACGCCCGAAACTGCGTCACAAGAGTAGAGCGCTCGGTGAAGGTGCGGCTCCTGCTTGCTAAAAGAAATTACCTGACGAGCGCTCGCAGAAAATTTTTGCTGCCCGCTGGCAGAACATGCGACGTGAAGTAAATAACGCTCGCTGAAGATTTGACCAAGCACCAATTTGCTGACCGCTTCAAAGAAAGCGCGAGTTCGAGGTCCGCCTGCCCCGGCGACTATCTGAGTGATTATTGAAAAGCTGGAATTTTGCAAACAAACGACGACAATGTTTCACTATATCAGCGAAGAAAGGAAAACTCATGTTCGAATTCTGTGGGAAAGGTTGATACATCTCGAAAAAATGTCACCAAGACTGCATTTTCCTTTTTTGATCAATCCCTGCAAATTGTAGATGATATGGAGCCGAAGCCTAATGATATGCTGCAAAGTCGCCAAATACAATTTTTGAGGAAGGACGTGGCTAAAATTCTGTTCAAACAATATTTTGGACTTCTTGCATTTTTCTGCCGTTTGATTTCTCACACTCACGTCCCATGTTGCTAAGTCATACGGATTGTTTAATTTGATTCGGCATGACATAATAGAACAGATCATTGCGCTTCAAGTTTTCAAGGCACAGTGTTTACCCCTTGCTGCGCTTCTATATGCCACTTCTCCGCTCCACTGCATTTTTCTAATCAACATGCTCACTTACGCAAAAAAAATGATCAAAAAAAGCGAAAATATTGCGACTACAGATAATTACTATCAGCAAGCAATGAGCAAATATTAAGCAAGCGCTCGGACTTTTTTACGCAGTTTCGGGCATACGTCAAGCAAAGGTAATACTCTATATGACAGAAGTACCATCGATGGTTTGGTTGCCGGTTTGGGGTACTTTCCCTCGGGGGAGCGTACCTATGAGTTGTGTGCGTTCACAAATGACCGTGCGGCCCGCATTGATTTTGCACATTCTCGCGGAAAGCCACCGAGAATATGCAAAACTAATGCCGGCCGCAGCTGAGCTATGAGAACGCCGCGGTTGTTTTCCGCGTTTCGCATAAAAATTTGCCAACATTTATCCAAATATCTGCAAGCGGACAGCAAGAAATCAGCGAAAAATTTTTCATTGTCAACTTGCCTACAAATACCAACGAATTTCTGAAAAGGAGTGGGCACAGATAACGCATGCAGACGGATAGAAATGGGACCAGAGGTGCGATAGGTGGAGCCGGCCCCCCAAAAATGAAGGTGGTTCCAGCTACCATTGACCGGCCAAAAGTGAAGGTGGTAGTGCCGGACGCTCACCTCCCAAAAACGTCGAAGGGGGGGGGGGGGGTAGCGTCGACTGAGCCTATTCTTCCAGGTCGTTACCGCCAGTGCGCGGAATATAAGCAAAACAAACGCAAAAAAGATCATTGAAGGCATATTTTTAGGAACACGGCGGCATATTTATTTAAAATAAACGTGTTTAGTAAATGGTGTATTTGGAAGTAAAAGATAGCGGGACTGTACGGATTTTATTAAGTAAATTTTGTCATAACGTACTACAAACAAAGTAGGTCGATCCAGGGAATAACCGCCGAGAACCAGAATTTTGAATAATAAAATAACGATAAATTATGCGAAATTTCCATTTTCATAAATCTTGCGGTTGAAGATGTCAGCAATTGCGACTTCATAGGTTTTGAAGGGCAAATGTTGTTCTACCTGACAGTGAAAGAATTAGGTCGATCTGAGCAGTGGCCGCCGAGAACGAGAATTTTGAAAAATTAAGCGATTTTAGGTTACTTAGTGACAGCTGACGTTTAGACTCCTATAAATCTGGAATGTGAAGGAGTGCAATGTTGCGACTTCATAGTTTTGTAGAGTGAGGAATGCTGTATCGGACCATGTCTTAGCCGTAACGATCCAATAAGATACCGCCGAGATTCAGGCTCTTGAAAAAACAAGTGAAAAACCGCTTTTCGAAATTCAACAGCGCATAACTTCTCCAGAATTGCATGAATCATGTTGGGACTTCATAGGTTGGATTCTCCTCATCAAGAGCTTTCAGATGATATATAATATGTGGGGGTTTTGCGCCTCTCACAGCATATGCCCGGGGGTGGAGACTTTTTACCCCAAAGTCTCCACTGGCGGTCTCCGGCCAGTACATTAAATGGACGAGGTGGAGACTTTGGGGTGAAAAGTCTCCACCCTGGGTTAGAGCCGCAAAAATCATTGAACCCCCCACATATTATATATCATCTGAAAGCTCTTGATGAGGAGAATCCAACCTATGAAGTCGCAACATGATTCATGCAATTCTGGAGAAGTTATGCGCTGTTGAATTTCAAAAGGCGGTTTTTCACTTGTTTTTTCAAGAGCCTGAATCTCGGCGGTATCTTATTGGATCGTTACGGCTAAGACATGGTCCGATACAGCAATCCTTACTCTACAAAACTATGAACTCGCAACATTGCACTCCTTCACATTCCAGATTTATAGGAGTCTAAACGTCAGCTGTCACTAAGTAACCTAAAATCGCTTAATTTTTCAAAATTCTCGTTCTCGGCGGCCACTGCTCAGATCGACCTAATTCTTTCACTGTCAGGTAGAACAACATTTGCCCTTCAAAACCTATGAAGTCGCAATTGCTGACATCTTCAACCAGCAGATTTATAACAATGGAATCATCGCATGATTTTTCATTATTTTATCATTCGAAATTCTGGTTCTCGGCATTTATTTCCTGGATCGACTTACTACATAGATATATGCTCCCAATACTTTCTTTTACCTTCCTTTTGCTTATTTCCCTTCTTTTGAGCTTCAACAAAATTTTTTTTTCAAACCCAAAAGTGAAGGTGGTCACCCAGTACCAGCTCAAAAGTGAAGGTAGGCGGAGACTCGGCTCCGACTATCGCACCTCTGAATGGGACCTTCATCATAGTGTTTTAACAGGTCTGGGGCGGAGCAGGGTATGCCAGTTGATATACTGTTTGAAAAAGGTTTCATTTCATTGCCTTTCTATAGCTGCAACTTTTCTATGTTTAGGGTTTCTTGCTCAGAATGATGAAACAAAAACGCAGACAACCACGCCGGAAATAGAAACGACAAGAAGAGGTCAAATTGCATGTACGCAAAAAAATCAGGTTGGCTTCGACACGCATATGTTTTTAGAGTTGCGCACCGAAATAGTCTGAATGCTGAACAGTATATTGAGACATTATATATATTAGTATGAAAGTTTTGAGCATCTTGCAGCATCAAAAGAATTCTGTAGTGGTCTGAAATGGCGAGCTTAAATGGGAAGATTGCAAACTTTAGGTCATACTTCATATTTTCTAACCGTCGAAATTCTTCTTGCATAGGTAATTTTCGACTTTTTGCTTTTAGTCATTCGAAAAAGCACTGCGTGCGCCAGCTTCTTTTTATTTATATGAAAGTCTTACCAACACGCAACGTTGATCTTCATAAACCTGAGGTGCACCCACAACCCAGGCTTGATAGTCAAATTTTGTACCGTCAGTCCAGGTCCATATCTTCTTGCTTCCTGTACCTTCAGCCAAGAGACCGATCCAGGTTAGGTCATGTGCATCTTTCCATGGCCTACCCGTTCTTGCCAACTCTAAATCACCGCCCGAATAATGTTGGCATATAGGTGATCTATCGACCGCATTGACTGTGGTCAGGGCGGGGCACGAAAAACGTAAAATGGTTGTCTTGGTACAAATCACTATTGTACAAGTCGTCTTACTTTGTTCTAGCCACTCGTCGCGGCATACGGTCAGTTATTGCAGTCACTGAATCAAGGGCTACTGCCGAGGGTGCAAAAGCAAAGTTGGTTGGGAGGTGCGAACGCTATCTTAGCGAATCAATACCTTGTTCCAAACCTTGCATCTCATGCGCTCCACGGCTAATAAACGCGCTCGAGCTCGGGTGGTTGAGCCAGACTTCGTAGCGCACGCACACGTGCATTGAGATATGGAGCTATGTCGCGTCCCAACCTTCCGAGATTTTGCGCCGTCGTTCGGCGGTAAGCTCTTATATAAATTGAATAAAACAAAAATTTACCGGTTACAAAAACATTTTCGGCGGAGCTGTGTATCGAAGTCAAATGTCCTCCAAGACTGTTACAGATGTATTCGGCATCGTAAGCATTTGCATCAAGGAATGTCTGTAAAGTCAAAACTTAGGTTAGTTTTTGTGCAGTTTTAATATCAATTTTATGGCATTCTTGTTAGATTGCAGGGATAACTTTATAAGTTTGTTCAAGGCTCCGTCCAAAATGGAGAGCTGTGGCGGCACTGAGTTAGCGACAAGCTAGCGCCGTGCTGTCTCGGCGCTGCCTTGATCAGCACAGTTTGCTTCGCTGGGACGAGGCATACGGATTTCGCCAGATTGCGTGGCGTACACGGCGTACGCAACTAGTTGTTACGCCTAATATCTCAAAGGCAGTGGCTTGGCGGAATGATACCCAAGGCAAAACAAGGTCACAGAGTAGGAGCCCATATAATGGATTTATGGGTCAAAGTTTGATGTTTCTCTGCCACTTCTAACCCCCGAAAACTCAACGCAAAAGGAGCGCTTCCATCTCCCCTCATCTCCGACCCCGCCCACCTTGCGACTTCTCTTCCACCGTCAGAGCGCCCATGTCGCGCTATAAGCATAAGGGTCCCGCAACGACCCTGCGTTTTCGCCATGGCAAGCTTTGGGTGCACTCGTCCATGGGTAAAATTGAGTGGGCGGGGTCGGAGAGGAGAGGAGATGAGCGCTGCTTCCTTGTTAAAATTTCGGGGTTAAATGTAACAGAGAAATATCGAAATTTGGCCCATAGGTTCCGTTATGGGGGCTCATACCCTGTGACATTGTTTTGTCACGGGCCTCATTCTGCCGAGCCACTGCCTTTAACAAACGTGAGCATACGCTGCTTACCTCGCATACGACACCCTGTCTGGTCCAACCCTATAGCCTCGTTAACAGCAAAGCATTGATCAAAATCTTTATCGAAAGCTCCAGTAGCGCTGTGCCGGTAAGGCGCTAGCTCGGCGCCGGCACAGCTCCGGCACTTCTGACGGAGCCTAAAAAGCTTGAGCTATTCAACAGTAGTATCGGTCCTACTCCATGCCAAACTCTTGCTGTTTAGAAAGAAATGTTGCCAACAGGGGGAGCACACAACCAAATTTGGTACGTCATTTGAAGAGCTTGATCTTCTAATTTCAAACTGCACATGAGTTCAGCCCAAAGCACAAAAAAGTGAGAAGCGTCAAAATCAGTTTCAACCGTAATTACTTTTCATTCAAAACCGATGTTGGTTCTCTTTAGGCTGCTAATGCTATACATCAAAAAAGTGCGTGAGACTGTAGCAAAGCAAAGTTTGCACTGCTAAGCCCCTGCTTACTTTTCGTTGCAGAGGTTTGAAATGAGACAAGATGCGTAGATGAAGAATGTGCAATCACTACAGATCAATTTACTTGGAGTTAAAATTACTCAAGATTACTCTTATTTTTTAGGGGATGATCATAATGGGTCTTGTAAAAAACTTTAACAAAATACATTTTGTTACATAATTTTTTTTTTGGAAAAAGTTGCACATACTTTGTAGCAGGCCTCGGTTTTGTCAAAGTAAGTCCACCCACTCTCGCAATGCCCGGGACACGCTAAAAGGCAATTTGGATTACTGAAGAACAAAATCTCATAATGCAGTCAGCCTTACCAGCTATTAAGGTATACTGGTAGTTTCATAAAATCAAGAAAAACAGTCAGCGCTTAATCTATACGTTCGTCATATTTTCACTTATCCAAGTACACCAAATCTGATATCTGCTCCGAAATTTCCCAAAATCATCATTATCATTAGGTCAAGCTATACAGCTGACCTAACGATAATAATGACTTGTTGCGGTTGTTTTCGGTCCTTCCTCATATCCAAGTAGACTGTCACTAGTTTTCTCATTTATTTTGCCTCCGCCCCACGATATAAAAATTCCAATCTGAGTGTGATTCAAAACATTTGCTGATGAAGTATCTTTAGTAGTGCTTGAGGCAACAATATTTTTGTAGGAAACGTTGAGGTATTAGGTTGGAAAGAAAGTTCTCGGACATTTTTAGACTAAAACTGCTACTTCTCGAAACCTAATGCATGTACATCCGAAGGAGATACCATTCGATAGAGCAAAGATCTACAAGTTGGTATGCGAAAGTTCGCACCAGCTTCGACCCACTGTAAGTTTGCATCCGAAATTTGAGTCGTACTGAAGGCTCGAAATTGGGAAAAAATCATCTCTTCGTTCAAAAAAACTCTAAGGATCTCCAATTTGCTCAGGCAAATTGCACACCACATCAGACGCTCATATGTGCCGTCCTTGTATTTTTCCCCATCTAGGAATCGAGAAAACAAGGATATTCATGCTTGTGTAAAAAGGAATCTACGCTGTTCCCACACACGTAATTGCATAGTATATCCCCTTAGAAGTATGACGGTAAATTTTTAGCTTTCCAAGCCCTAGGTTTCGAAAAATATTGATTTTAGCCTGGAACGCACGAGTGAGGAGAGCTCAATTCGGTAATTTTTAAAAATAGAGTCTGTAGTATACTTGGGTCCGAATGAATAGAAATTCGATCATTCGAATAAAACATTCGAATATATTCGTATTCGAAATTCGATATTCGGAGCTCTTCCATTTTCGAATAATATTCGAAACTCGAATAATTGAGAAACGGGGTTTCGAATAAAATTCGAAACTCGAATAATCAAAAAACAGGGTTTCGAATAAAATTCGAAAACTCAAATAATCAAAAAACGAGGTTTCGAACATTATTCGAAAACTCGAATAATCAAAAAACGGGGTTTCGAATAGATTTTATTCGAATGTTTTATTCGAATGTTTATTCGAATTCGTATTTGAATGTACTCCGTATTCAGATTATTCGACTTTGTTGCAGAGCCAACTGCTGAGTATCAAGACTTCGTCCGCTTTTTTTTCGCAAAACTCGGTAATGCATCTTTTGCAATCGGTATACCTTTGAACTGTATGGAGAGTCGCATTCTTCCGACTGCTTGCGACAGTAAAAATTATATGTGGATTTCAATTGATGTTGTTTCGATCGATGAGATTGTTCGCACTGCTATTGGCACCAAATCAGCAAAGAAGATATCAAATTCAAGCTCATGTTTCGAGTTCATACTGAATTGAAATGGCTGTTCTTCTTTCTTTGCATTGCTCATGCTTGCGGTACGCAAAGCCCACATTAGTGAGCACTCTTGCTCGCATAACTTATTGCAAAACTTATTCGTTACCTTGGAGTATTTTGCGAATTGGTGTATATTGAGTAAAGGACATCGCAGTTGTAGGGCAGGATTAGACGGTTTAGATCGCAGTACGCGATTTGCCAGTTACGAGATGTCTTCAGATGTAATGGCAGCTTACCACAAATGTTTAGCGTGTACAACATACTAAAAAGATAAACGCCCTGCATTCTGTATTTTCAGAATAGGTTTTGGACAATTTGACTACTGCCATACCACGCCACTGAAATGTCTGCAGTATGCCCGGGGTTATAGGGACATTCGTGCTCGCTTCGTGGAGGAAACCACATGCCTTTATCCACGACTAGCTTGTACCACACAAGACTAAAGTATCCGATGAACAGGCAATGTCGTAGCATTTGTGGAATTTAAGTACATAGGTGATCTCTTTCAGACCATATGAAGAAGAATCTTTTGGGCACAGCATAAAATTTTTATATCGACTGCTTTTTTAGATCGTCCAATAATGGGTAAAATATGACTTTTTGCTGATGTATAGACTAGTTGCCGACCGACTTTATCGATTTTTGGAAAATCTTGAGCTGCGGGGCTGGGAGTTGGTACAAGGGGGTAATTGAGGGGCTGATTAAGGATGAAAATTTACTTTATCGATTTTATCGATTTTTGGAAAATCTTGAGCTACGAGGTTGGGAGTTGGTACAAAGGGGTAAGTGAGGGTGCTGATTGAAACCGAAATCTATTATATTGATTTCAGCAATTTTCGGAAAATTTTGAGCTAGGGATTGGTATAGGGGACTGGGAGGCTGATTATGATTGGATCGGCTTTAGCCAGAAATGTCGGCAAGTTTGAGATGTGATTGCTTTAGTTATTCGATAAATCATTCGAATATTTATTCGAAATTTGAATTCCAATGTTCGAATATATTCGATATTCATTCATTCGATATTTTTGATTTTCCGAATTTATTCGAAATTCATTCATTCGATATTTTTGATTTTCCGAATTTATTCGATATTCGTTTATTCGAAATTTTTTATTTTCGAATTTATTCGATATTCGTTTATTCAAAATTTTTCCTTTTCGAATTTATTCGATATTCGTTCATTCAATGAAAAATTATCAAAATACCCAAGTATAGCCTGTAGAAAGCTGAAAATTTACGGTTATATTAGGTTGAACCGAAAGTTCTGTCGCACGATTTTTAAAAAATCATAACTTCTTTCCTTCACGACGATTTTGCGCAGTTCAAATTTTGTCTGAAAGCGTAAACCATGTAGTTTCCAAAAGCTCCCTGGGGAGTTTCCGATATGCTCAGATGGCAGAGATAAAAATGAAAGAACGAGATCATCCGAAATTCGGAATTTTTGAGCAAGAATTCTAAAAATTCAGAAACTGTGCGATAAAATCCAGAAAAGCCACTATCCTAATTTTTCTTACATTTGATTACTATCTGAGTCAAGTTTGTGCTGATCGAGCCCTTCTTTCAAAAGTTATGATTTTTTGAAAAATAATGCCGAAAAATCAATTTCCTAAGAATTCCTAAGAAATGGATTTTTTGGCATTTTTTTTCAAAAAATCATAACTCTTGAAAGAAGGGGTCTATCAGCATAAACTTGACTCAGATAGTAATCAAATGTAAGAAAACTTAGGCTGATGGCTGTTCTGGATTTTATCGCACTGTTTCTGAATTTCTAGAATTCTTGCTTAAAAATTCCGAATTTTAAATGATCTTGTTCTTTCATTTTTATCTCTGCCATCTGAGCATATCGAAAACTACCTAGGGAGCTTTTGAAAACTACATGCTTTACGCTTTCAGACAAAATTTGAATAGCGCAAAATCGTCGTGAAGGAGAGAAGTTATAATTTTTTGAAAATCGTGCGACAGAACTTTCGGTTCAACCTAATACTTCCAAGGGGGTGTACTCTGCATTTACATGTGTGGGAACAGCATAGATTCGTTTTTGCACAAGCATGAAAATCCTTGTTTTCTCCATTTCTAGATGGGGAAAAAATACGGGAACGGCACACATGAGTGTCTGATGTTGATGTGGTGCGCAATTTGCCTGAGCAAGTTGGAGATCCTGAAAATTTTTTTGAACGAAGTACGATTTTTTCCCAGTTCTTCGAGCCTTTAGTACGAATCAGATTTTGGATGCAAACTTACGGTGGGTCGAAGCTGGTGCGAACCTCTACATATCATCTTGTAGAGCTTACTTTGCTCTATCGAATGGCTTCTCTTATACATGCATTAGATTGCGAAAAATAGCAGCTAGTCTACGTCCGAAAACGTTTTTTCCAGCCTTTCCTTTCCAACATTTTGGCTTTGCTCTTTCCTAAGGTTGAACGGGTTGAATTCTTTTTTGGTTTTGTACATTATTCTAGCGCGGCTTGAGGATGAGTACCACAAGGATGACTTTGAGAATACGGGTCAATGGAATTCAAAGGTGGATTTGCATTTTAATGCGGAACCGAGACCCCAAGCTCAAAGTGTAACTTGAGTCCCAATCATACACGAAGAAGATGTTCAGCTAACCTTGGTTGGAAGCATTGAGATGAGAAAAACCAAAAGATTGGCCCGAACTTCTGTAATAGCATTATTCTCATGTGAATTTTTTAAGGTAAAACACAAACTTTGAAATTAGTTCGTTGCTGCTCGGATTTACAAGACTGTTCGCCAATGGAATCCATATAAACAACAGGAGCTTCATCGAGCTCATTTTGAATACCTCTAAATACTTGTTTTCACTATTTGCTATGATTTTCGCTATGTGAAGTGTGAAGCATCGAAGTTTGTCTTGTGAGCGAAAATAGACTTCGATGCGTTACTTATGCGATTCAGTACTCAAACAGCGGATAGGACCCCTCCGCCGGAGAAATGGCAGGGCCGCGGGGTTTCCCCAGCGGTGGGTCTGCCACTCGTCCGAAGGGAAACCTCCCCATTTCTGCTCCGGAGCCCTCCCATTTTCTGCTCCGGATACCTCCCATTTTCTGCTCCGGAGACCTCCCATTTGTGCTCCGGACCCCTCCGATTTTCTGCGGCGCGGCTCTTCCAAATCTGGCGGACTCGCGCGGGGCAAATTTCTCCGGCGCGGCTCTTCCAAATCTGGCGGACTCGCGCGGGGCAAATTTCTCCGGCGCGGCTCTGCCAAATCTGGCGTACCTCCGGAGCAGAAATGGCGTACCTTTGCAGCAGGGCCGGAGAAGCGTCCCATTTGCCTGCCAGTGATGTCACCGCGACCTACAAGAAGGGACCGCCCATTTGCCCCGCTCTCATTGGTCAACTGGGTCCGGCGCGACTCTGGCAGATTCCGACTGTCCGGCGGAGGGGTCCGGTCGATTGTCTGAGTATGCAGATATTGGGAAGACGATAAATCATGATAAAGCAGTTCTCTGCAGCAATCTTGAAAACAAGTGAGAAACGCACAGGACGTTATCTTAAAAGTCATTCTGTAGTTTCCTTCTTGCAATAAAGTATATTACTATAAAAAATCTGCATGGTCAGAAGAAATACTGAGCAAAAGACATTCTCATTTAGCATTTTAAGGCAAAAGGATACAATAAATGAAATATCATGACAGAGCAACCTTCTCTGCTACCCAAAAGTATCAGATAGATATGAAAATTTGTACTAAATTAATAGGTTTATAATCTTATGGTTTGCCCGATTCTGTTATCTGGTGATTATTTTGACAGCTCCTGGATTAACCGCTGACTTTCGTTTCGTTGATAACTTCTTTACCCAAAACGTGGAAAATCTACATTCTTTCATGAAACAAGCAAAAAGCAAAGTGATAAAGGAGAAGTAATCTTATCGAGAAGCAAAAAAGGATGCTCCTTAGAAAGGTACTGGTAAGATGGTCTGGAGAGCCATTGGGGCAAGAGGTGTGTAGAGCGGAGGTAGGCTTTCAATCTTTGTTCTTAGGATCTATCAAAGTACCTTTGCATCGTTTCTCAAGAAAGAAAGTTAGCAGTAAGTTGTCGAAGCAGTACAGTAGATGCAGTACGCGTCTGAAATGAGGAATCGTCGCTAAGATTTTTTCAGTAGCGACTCAAAATTTGTTTGGAGCCACAAATTGTTGAAATTTTCTACGAAAATCAACGAACCAATCTTTGAACATTGGGGCAGCAATCGTATTATAGAAAATAAACGTATCTATTGCATAACGTTTTTTTGAATTTTGAAACTGTTCTTGAATAGTTTGCCAATTAGTGGTTAAGTTATGTTACACTTCAAATATTAGGTTATCTCGAAAGTTTTGTTGATTACGAAAGTAATCGGCATAACGTTTGACTCAGATTTTTATCCTCTTGATGATAACTGCAATACCTCTCTAATCTATGCTGCCTTTTCGATTAACGCCGGTTTCCTTTCAGCATTTTCAGAGATGCCAAGATTCCCTATTTTTAGAAAAAATCCTATGGTACTAGGTTGGCCCGAAAGTTTTGTCGCACCCTTTTGGAAAATTTCTTCTGATTTTTCAACCGATGTGTTTGCTCTCATTCTTGTTTGAAAGAGCTTGTAATTTTTTTTACACTGCTACCTTATGGTTAGATGTTTCCTGTTGAGCATACACTGCGTAGATGAAGGCGGTAGAAGAAAATTACTTAAATTTTGAATTTTCTTTTTTTTCATTCTTTCTCTAACAAACAAAAATAAAGGCAAACAAATCGGTTTGAAGAAATCAGAAGTTATGAATTTTTGAAACTGGTGCGCAGGATAACAACTGTTGTGTCCTCGACTTTGAACACTTCGACTCTTCGTTCTGTGGGCGCGCAGAAGGAAATAAGTATATTTATCAGAAAAAATTTTAGAGAAACAGTAGAATTTGAGAGGCGAATGGGTGAATTGAATTAAGTGAGGGAAAGAGGGAGCGGTTTTTGAGCGCTCATTTCCAGCTAACTCTGAGGTTGCGATCGTGGGCGCAAATGCAAATCACTATGAGGAACAACTGATTATTTACAATCAGAACAGCAACCAATCATCAATTCGCAAATCTTCAAAAGCTTTCGTATCTTTGCTGCCTCCACGTGTCGCACGACTTCATCGATCGAGACCAAACAATTCTTTTTTGGAGATCTCGTTCGAATTCTTTGAAATTCTTGGAAAAAAATTCTTTGGAGCCTCAAGCTTCAAATCAGAAGAACCCAAAAGCATTACAGCGTAGTCCGAGATGAGAACTAGCCAAACTTTGAGCAGAAAAATTAAAATTTTCTGTAATTATCCACGTCTTCAAAAAATTATGATATAAAGCTGTAGCCATTAAAAAGAGAAGGAGAAACTGTATCGAATACGTACGCAGTTAATTCCTCATTTTAAGCGGTTTAACAGATCTTTGAAAAACCGACAAAACTTTCGGAATAAACTAAAAGTATCGAAAAGTTTCGTGATCACCAACTATTTGGACGACGCAAGACGAATTTCGTCATTGATTCCATGAACCCAAATGGCTTCGTAGCGCTCCGAAGCACATAAGTCGAAGTTTTCCTTCCTTATTAAGTCACTTGAAATGCTTATTTTACAGATTTCAACAGTATGGACATGATAGTTGGCAAATAGTCCACTCAAAAGCTTGAAAGAAATCCAATGCTTTGTCTCGTAAACATGTGCACAAATTTTATTATTATCTAATCATGGACAGATCTTTGACATACATCTTACCATATATCCCATCCCATATATGTCTGCTATTGATCACCTTAAATTTTGATAACTATGAGGACTGTTTAGAACCATTTTGAGCTCAAGTGTTTTTCGTGTCAGGCCAAAAAGACGGATACATTACTGGCCGCTCGCTCGCGCAAATGTATTGCCGGCTTTGCGGTAACATTGCCTGCCGCTTGGAGGGGTCATCTGTTTGTCGCACGCACGGAAGCTCTAAGCTTATGTCAACCGCTTATACGTCAGCCTTTGTAGGAGGATCGCTCGCACAGCGCGAGCCCCTGAACAGATGAGCCTGCTTGCCTTCTTCGGTAACAAAAATCATATACGTACAGTCCGTGTCAATCACGTGCTCTGCTCCCTTTTCCGTGAGTGCAATAAACCTCGCGCCACGTTCGAGCGCGTATGACTCTGGCATTCAAATAAGCCTCATCAATTTGTGGTCCGCACGCACGGCCCTTGCTTGCGCATGCGTAGTTGCCATGTTAAAGGGAGTATGTAATTGACATTGACTGTATCAGTCCTCAACGAATCTCCTACGAAAGAAGTACTCCCTAAACTGTTGCAAGAAAAGGTAAGTAGTGAACTTCAATCATTGACTTTAGTGTCGTATCGTAACTTCAGTGTATGTGTCGACATAATTTGTGAACGCACTGCAACGATATAAATGAGCTTTATAAAAATTAGGTACTGGCACTCGTAGCCACGACAATTTGTTCCTGTTGCTAATTAGCCAAACTATGTTCTCATTGAACAGCGGGAATAATAATACAATATGCAAGAAAAGTCTGACTGTAATGTTGTGCTCAGAATTGTGCTTTCTCTACACGCGAATACATTAACAATTTTCGCGAAGAAAACTACTTGGCCGAAAAACTTACATTGTTATACGACTCTTACTCAGTTCAAAAATGAAAATTTGATAGCGAATTCTATCAATCGCTCATTTAATTTATTTTATCAGAAACATTTCTGAAGCATGTTCGCAGATGCCGCCTATGCAAGAGCAGTGCCAGTAAATATGCTTGTTGAAATAAGGATATTCCTCGGAGATCAAAAACCAAAAAGTTACCTCTTTGCACTATCTATTGAGACAGTGCAAGGAGGGAAACAAAAAACAAACCAATTCCTTCACATGGAAACCTATTCAAATATCCCAACAAAGCTGTTCGGATAATGTGAATGCTCTTCGCCATCCTCTATGCTTTGGACGCGTGCTGGTGAGTTTCTTTGCTAAAAACTGCTTTTAATAGTGCGCACATGACCCCATCTGCACCTCACCACCTTGCACCGCTTCGCAGGCTTGTAGCTCGTCCGCCAGACAATCTTCCAACCTATGTGCAGGCTCATTCGAAAGCGCGTGATTTTCTCGACACGATGGCATGCAAACGAGTTGAGTTTGAGAATTAAGATTTTGAGGATGCGGTGAAAAAGGTCAGCTTCAGTGGTAAGCTAAGGATTTTGCTGCTAAAGCTGAACAGAGCTACTTTCGCTACCAGTTCCATCCTAGAAGTTTGAAACTATCATTTCTTGTAATGGATCTATTTCCAAGCTCTAAGAGTGTTTTGATGTTGATAAGGGCTTTCACTCTAATCGCTTTTGAGGCTACGCTTTTTCACCCCATCCGTAAAACTCATTTGCATGCTCTCGTGTCGAAGAAATCAGGCGCTTTCGAATAAGCCCGCACATGGGCTACAAGATTCACTGGCTGCTGAGCTACAAGCCTGCAAAGCGGTGCAAGTCAGTGGTAAGGTGTAGATGGAGTCATGTGCACGAACTATCAAGAGCCAATTTCAGCAAAGAAACTCACCGGCATGCGTCTAATGCATTATGGATGGCAAAGATCATCCATTTTATCTAAACAGCTTTGATAAGATGTTTGAATAGGTTTCCATATGAAGAAATTTGTTCTGAAAAAGGTACTTAGAAGTTATTTCTTGAGAAAAAGCAAAATAAAATTCAAGCTTGGGTTTTTCTGGAAGTAACCTCTACCTGGATTGCCTTCGATAAGCTCTATGATATAGTATGCTTATCGGTCAGGAAAAGTTCTGTATCTGCTCCAAACAAAGACCTAGAGGAAAGTTTTCGCGTTCAAAGAAGTGCTGTCCGCGACATTGTGACACGGCCATTTTCGGACTTATTTAAAAAAACATTTTTAAAATTTTTATAATACGGATTTTCCAGAAAGCGTAATGTGTGGGTTATGCTCTTGAAGAGCTCTATCATCTCATGCAACCCGATCGTTTTTTCACCTTTGTTTTCCATCCGAAAATGAGCGATGAAAAAAGGAAGGCGGCTTGTCCGCAACTTTTTTGGCGGTCACTATATAACTAAAATCAAAAAGCTAAGTTGATTTATAGAAGATTAAAATGTTATTAGTTTCGTCGCATTATTAGCTGGTGATATAACTGGAAAATGTCATCAAAGGAAAGAGTTTCGCGCAAAGAATGACCCCGGTAAGCGAGGCGCCAAAAGTCATCTCAACACGGAGATGATTATTGGAAATATTACTTAGAGCAAATAATTTGTCTCAGCCATCATAAAAAATGTCATGAGGTACCTTTCCTTAGAAGCTAAAAGCACTGGATAGGCAAAATGAACTCTCCTCGGATTTTACACGGATTGAGGTAGTAGACCCCCAAGTATACTATAGCCCAAACCCCACCTGCCAATTCACGCGTTAAGTCTTGAAAAATGCGCTTCAAAACTTCACCAATGATATTCACTCAATGGAAGTGGGCGGGGCTGATGGAGCTTTGAAGCGCAAACTTCAGGAGTTAGCGCATGAATTGGCAGGTGGGGTTTGGGCTACAGTATACTTGGGGGTCTACTACCTAACTCCACCAAAATCCAAGAAAGGTCCATTTGCTGATCCACTGCTATTGAAGGCAGTGTCCGGGCAAAAAGCCGATTTTGAGATTTTGTACTAAGGGCCGGTTCGCTAATCTGAATCGGAATATCCTACCGATGAGCGCAAAAACCGCAAAAAAGGTCTCTAGGCAAGAGCGAAATCAGCAAATAAGCGGGGTCTTCCCCCACTGTGGATTCGCGCCTCCAGCTTCTGGAGCGATCTTCTCACTTCCGCTGACCACCCTGACATCGCCACCGGCAAGTGCAAACGCGTGAACTTAAAATCGGTATCGGCAATCGGTATCGCAGTGAAAGCTGGGAGCGTGAATCCACCGTGGGGTCATTCGTGATGCAGTTCGGCTAAATAAATCCAGTTACTGCGCTCATCCATCTTCAATTTACGCCTCGAAGCTTCAGACTTAGATTATGATCGCCTTGGAAACTTCCGCTTGACATTAAAAAATGTGGATCTCTGGCTATATGTAAGAAAGATTCTTTTAGAGCTCCGCTAAGGTGGAAACTTTCATAACCTCGAATGGACTGTTTTGTCCTACTTTGCTTTCTACTTTAAGCTTTGTATGAAAACAAAGTGCCAATTCGTCATGTGCACCCAGATTCCCGGAGGCTTCTGAGATCAGTATGACAAGTGATATTCCATCCTTCATAATGCAAAATACAATTTATAAATCCAAAAATCGGAAGGGTTCCGAGGCTACAACATTACCTGTTTTGAAAGTGTAAGCTGAATATCGCTCTGGGGACGAGTGGTGTAGTGGTATGAGGCGCCGCTATGACTAGATCAGACACAGTTTCGATTTCCGCCCCTGGGCCAACCAAGCCCTCTAACCCCCGAGGCCGGTAAATTGGTACCAGAGTAATCTGGGAGGATAAAAGCACTGACTTGAAAACGGCTAACCCCCGCAAGTCACTGTAATAGGCTCGCACGCATACAATTGCCTTTGCGACTATGAAGTTAGTGTGTCCGTTTGGCGCATGCCCTCAGAGGGTATTAAAGAGGCCGAATCCTTTATCCTTTATCCTTTAAATATCGCTCTACGGTGGTGACAGCTGTCGATTGGGCATGAGGTGTTTGTGAAATACTCGTGTAAATAAGCGGAGCTATCAGGAAAATTGGCATATTGCAAAGCACCGAATGGTCACAAACTTTGTTCACGTTAATAATAATAATCGGCCTGCTCAGCTCGGGCAGTAGTTGTGTAGTAGCTGCTGCTCATCTCAATCAAGGAGTAAAGGGGATTCAACGCTTGTTATGCACTTTGTCATCATAAAAGGAAAGAGATAGGTAGTAGCTGGGGTCCAAAGTTTTCATGAGCTTCGGCGAAATGGAAACAAAAGTGATTCTGATGCATAAACAGGGTGAAGACAGGGTTGAAGGGCTCGCAAGGTAAAGGGTTCGCAGCACGCCTTATGACTCTTTTGATCTTGCTCAGTCCAGTGGTCTTGTACCAGACATATTTTCAGTAATATGAAATATGTTATGTTATATATATGTTTGTTCGTTAATGCGAAACCTCAGGATTGGAACACGTGGCTTTCAGAAATCAAATAAATTTCAAATTATATGCGTTTTTTGGTCTCTTATGATCCACGCATTAAGGGTCGGGCATACATACGCGATTACATCGCCTCGCAATTATCCCAACAAGACGCAACTGTTACCAGTCATTGCATGCTGGTCATCTTACATTCTGGTTGTGACAGTTAATCGCGATTAGTCAATTATCATAACTGGAATGTAATTTGATCGGCATGCAATGAACTCGTAAAGGTTGTCTTGTCGAGAGAATCGTGAAGCGATGAAGTTGCGTGATGTATATTGCGAGTGTGCGTGATGTATACTTATATTGCCAGTGTAGGGCTATATATATTGCGACCACAAGCGGTGGCGTATTTACAGAGGCTATTAATTGCAGTATCGGATGCACCAGCATCTCCACTCCCGCGCAGGACTTGCACCTCTTTCGCGAAAATCCTCTCTAATTATATTCAATCGATTGTGGTTCCGCCTTTCCCATGCTCGCGGTGGATTGATCAGAAAGTATGTAGGTGCAGAGTTCAGGCGAAGCGACCGCGCGGGACCGGAGATAGTGCACCCGACATGCAGTCAGGGCCCGGCACGAGGTTGTCAAAAGAGGCTCAAAAACGAATTCCCCTTTGACACAAAATTTTTTTAACGAATTCCCCTTTGACCCAAAAACTGACCCCAGTGATTCGCAGTGAGCACTTTACCTAAAGAACAACTTTTATTGACGAAAAAAACAAATACAATTCATTTAAGACAAAAAACCAATGAGATCATACTAAAGATTTCTACAGTGAGTTGACTACATAGTAATTGAAATTTTGAGCGTACTCTGCCTTTAAGGCCCCGGGCCGACTTCACGCGATTTGATCGTCGCGATTGAATCGCGACGAGACAACTGTTACAACATCATTCCATGCCGATCAACTTGCATTCGGTTGTAATACTTTTCCAGCCCGAAATTTTTGAATGTGAAATGAAAATGAATGGAAATCTTCTTGGCGATTAGAGCACGACGATTAAGTCGCGTGAAGTCTGTCCGGGGCCTAATGGGACCCTTACCATACATGTTATTGGCTAAGATGTTGCGTCATAGAACTCAAAAAATGATGGGAGAACCTCTGCAGACTTCAAGCAATTGATGCCTTTCTTTCGTCCGCTAGGGGGCACTTTTACGCAAAATGACTGCTCGAGGTGGTCATACCTCTGTAAGCAATAAGAAAGAGAAGTATGCTAGCTCAAACTGCTACTAAAAACCTCGAAATCTTCTTTCCGGAGAAGGATCTGGCTATACAGTTCTTCGTATGTGTCAGCTGAGTACGTATACTCGTAAGCAGATTTCGGCAAAAGAGAACGGGAAAGGAGTTGCTCAATATCGTTCTCGGCATAACTTTCGACGATAAAGACATGTTGCTAAAAAAACATGAGTCAAGAGCGCCTACTTCTAAGATCGCCAAAATCCAAGCAATCTTTTGCAACCTTGCTTTAAAGGCAGCGTTTAGACAAATCTGGACATAGGAGGTTCTGATGTGGAAAGTATTTTTGGAGTACTAACTAAGACACTGCCCAAGCGCAAATGGTGAACTCACAGTTGAGATAATCGCCTCCTTTCAACTGTGAATCAACATTTGAACTGCCGCTTGGGCAGTGTCTTAGTTAAAGCCCTAAGACTACTCTCCCAGTGAGATCCCCATAGGCCCAGATTTGACTGGGCGCTGCCTTAAAGTTAGAAATGAGATTAGACACTAGTTTATTCAAAATGTGTGCAAAATGCTCTTCAGTTCTTTTCGCAAGCAGCTCATAACTTTGCGCTTCGGTGTCTCAAATTCTCACCGAAGCGAAGATAGCTTGTTTGATGACATCTCTGTCATGAATGGAAAGAAAACTAAATTTGACGCTAACAAGAGGTTTGGTCCGAAACCGCAGCGACAAAACTAGAACATAGCACACAAACATCATAAATTATACCGCGGACATGAAGAGCCGCTTAGAAAACAAAACAAGGAGACCTTCAGGATATGAAACTTTAAAAGAGAAAATGATGAAAGGTTTTGAAAGGAAAAACTCAAGCATCAAAAATGCCTAGTGCGTGTTCGTGTGAAAAATCAATCAATGAAACGTCAGAAAATACACAAAGGAAAAACAAGGTTAAATATGATACTAGAAATACTCGCTAAATTGAAGTATGTTTGATTGAGAGACAATCATATCTTGTCTTTGGCTTTGCTAGAGATATCAAGAGGTTCAGAACTTTTCAGCGCATCGTCCTGAAACATGTGACTTCCAAACATATAAAAAGCAAGTTCTTTAATTTAGATGAAGGACTGGAAAAAAGGCAAGAAGTAAATTCAGTACCTTGACTAGGGGCGCGAGAGCTTGTGAGAGCGTCTTCTTATTCACACCCAAGGATGTCACCATGAACCAACTGTGTATTCAACGGAATCGTTGAACAGTAAGCACTGCCATTTGAGCTGTTGCTGTCTAAAGATCTCACTTTGACAGCGAACAAAACAAACAAATCGCAGTGGCTTACCGTAAACACGTATTTTTTACCAAACCCATACGCATACATTTCACCACCTGACTGAGATAAAACCTGAAATCGCAGTAATGTTTACTCCTTAACCTCTTGAGACAATTCTTACCCATGTCAGCTTTCTGCCATTATGCTTAGAGTTGTAAAAGGAAGTAAAGTGCTCTATAGCTAGATTGAGCTTCTGAGGCAGATGCATTTTTAAAGTCGGCAAGGCCGGCCGTAATCCAGAACTGAAGAAGAAACAATTACGAAGGTTATTCTTGGGATATCAAGAACGGGACAACTTGTGTACAATTTACCTTAAAATAAGCATATTGAAGTCGATCCCAAGATCAATGTTTTGATTAGCTAATTAATCGCGGAATTCTGCGCAAGAATCTAAAGACCACAGATTACCAAAGATCCCTGCTTCTATCTCATTTATCACAAAAAAGTCCTTCATCCAACTATGTCTACAAACTAAGAAGATTCGAACTCAATTTGCTAATCTGCGTGTCACTGATCATCTTCGACAATCGATCAGTGTATTCGAGACCACACATTTGCTTCAGCTTGTTAATCACGCTCACTTCGGCTTCTTCAGATGCAGATGTTTCCGATATCAACCTGAAGGTACGATTCGAAGAAGGTCCGTAGGTTGAAAGAAGGAAAAGGCACCCTTTACTAAACATCTTGGTGTAGAACTTTGAAAATACATCTTTGTCCTCAATGTATTTGAAGACGACCATCTGAAGCAAGCAAAGTCAGCAGAGAAGGAGTTAAGCAAAAAAAACAAACAAATAAACCGAGCACAATGGTCGGTCGCCTCATCGTGGCGTGGGGGTGACACTGGGTGTCGAACTGCGATGCACAGCCGAGTGTATACTCTGGTAGGGCCTCCCAAGCTGTGAAGGAGTTCGACGTTTCCGGTTTCGGCCGGATGCCTAGCTAAGAACTGGCCGCGCCAGATTCTCCGCCGTCTGGCTTCTTGTGGTCGCTAGGCGGTCCCTCCCCGCTCCAAGCCCGGGGTCAGCGATCACCCCGTGGAAATCAAGAGTAGGCCTAGTAAGCCACCTCTTGTAGGGGAACAAATTTTATTACTCAGACAGCAAGAAGATTTAGAAAAAACCCTGTACATCGGATCCCGCCTACGGCGCCGGGTGGTAGCAAGAACGATGTCAGGGTACTCAGGGCGCCTTTCGGATTGGACAAAAACGACACGTCTGCCCGGACGACACGCCATGGAGACTGCCTCATGCTCTGCACTTACAACGCCAGGACAGTCTCCACAAACGCCGATCTCCACGCTCTTCTCGACGCTGCAGAGCACATCAACTACCACATCATTGCTCTGCAGGAAACGAAGTCCAGGAAGAAGGACGTGCGACAGATGAGTGATGGGACCCTCATCATTCGTGGTGAAAAGGTTCCATCACGAAACGTGGGAGGCGTCGGCTTTGTCGTCCACCCATCTATCGTCCATCTTGTCGATTCGCACGAGATCCTATCACCTCGACTAGGCATCCTACGACTACGACCTCCACATCAGAAGACCATCAGCATCATCAACTGCTATTCTCCAACATCAGCAGCTGATGAATCAGAACTAGATGCTTTCTACGAAGATGTGGAGGAGGTCGTCCGCAACGAGAAGTCCTTTTACAAGTTTGTTGTGGGCGACTTCAACGCGAAAATCGGGATGCCACTGGAAAGGGAATATAGGATCGGGAAGTTTGGATATGGGCTCCGGAACGAAAACGGCAACCGTCTCGCTGGGCTTCTCTCCGCCGCACGACTCTTCCATGGAAATTCCATCTTCATGAAGAAAGAACATCACCGGTGGACACGGGAATCGCTCAAAACGACTCATGCGGAGATCGACCACATTCTCACCAACCGAAGGTGGAGCTTACTCGATGTCTCTGTAGTTCCATCCTTCTGTAGTGGCTCCGATCACCGCCTCCTTCGAGCGAAGATACGACTCAGCCGAAGGCTGGAAAAAAAAGTCTGTCATAGTGCCGCGAGAAGGAAGGAAGTCGTTTATGACGGTAACAGGCTGGAAGAGCTCATATCAAGTTGTGACTGGCCCATCGAGGAGGACCCAACGTACGACTACGACCGGCTTCTGAAAGGATTGCGAGCCTGCGGAGAATGCGCCTCAGTGACTTCTGAAAAGAACTTGGACCGCATCTCGAAGACCACCAAGGAATTGCTCGAAAGAAGAAGATCATTGAGGCAGGATCCGAATGCAACTCATCTCGAGCGACTGATTGCCAACACCAGTTGCAGAACAGCTTTGCAAGAGGATCTCAGGAAGTACAGGCAAGCCAAGATACTGGAAGCAGCAGAAAGAAGACGAAGTCTCAAGAAGTGCCGAAGGGACCTCTGCGAATATCACGTACCGCTGGCTGCACTACTGAACGAAGACGGGACTCCGACTTCTTCCCGATACAGGATGGAATCTATCGCGAAGAACTTCTACACCAACCTCTTCCGCTCATCAACACCCGTGCAGATGCCCGTTGTTCCCACTGGAGAAGTACCACCACGAATTCTACCTGCTGAAGTGCGTATCGCGATACAGACCATGAAGACGTCCACGGCTCCAGGACCAGATCATCTTTCCGTCGAACTTCTGCGAGCCGGAGGACACCGTCTACACGAGATTCTAGCGTCGCATTTGACATCTTACCTTCAGAAGGAGATAATTCCCGACCAGTGGAGAACGTCAAGAACCGTCCTTCTCTTCAAGAAGGATGAACGGGAGGATCTTCGGAACTACCGTCCAATATGCTTGCTGAGTGTGCTGTGCAAGCTTTTTACGAAGATTATCCTCGCTCGCATATCAAGGACACTGGATGAAGCCCAACCCCAAGAACAAGCTGGATTTCGCAAAGGATTCAGCTGCATGGACCACATCCAGACCGTTTCGAGGGTCATAGAAGTCTGCCGGGAGTACCGACTGCCTCTCGTCCTAACCTTTGTCGACTACGAGAAAGCCTTCGACAGCGTCGAAACCAACGCCATCCTGTCTGCGCTAGTCGATCAAGGAGTGGACCCAGCTTACGTGAGGACGTTAGCCGACTGCTACAAGGACTGTACAACGACGATGCAGCTATTCCATCGCCCCCTGACCATACCAATCGGGAAGGGGGTCCGACAAGGCGACACAATCTCGCCGAAGCTGTTCACCGCGGCCTTGCAGTGGGTGATGAAGTCAGTGGACTGGGACGAGAGAGGCATACGAGTTGATGGGAGATTCCTGTCCAACCTTCGTTTTGCGGACGACATCGTTCTCTTCTCGAGCAGTATCACCGAAGCAGAGACGATGCTGAAGGAACTAAACGAAGTAGGGAAGAAGATCGGACTGCGAATAAATCGGAAGAAGACTCAGTTCATGAAGAACGCCCTTTGCGAAGATGCAGAAATGGAATTGGAAGGCACCCCGATTATGGAGACGTCTTCCTACGTGTATCTCGGACGTTCGATGAACATGGAGAACGACTTGAGGGAAGAACTTAACAGGAGAAGAAGAGCAGCCTGGGCCGCCTTCGGGCCCCTGAAGGAAGCCACCGACCAACTGACGGACCCGGAGCTTCGTGCCCACCTGTTCGACTCAACCGTTCTCCCGGCGCTCTGTTACGCAGCTGAGACTTGGGCCGACACTGTAGCCACGTCGAAAGCTTTACGGACCACCCACAGAGCGCTCGAGCGCAGTCTTCTGAAGATGACCCGACGCAAGCAACATCTAGTCGGACTTCGCAGCACGGATATGAGAAGAATGTCCCGTCTTCGTGACCCAGCGGAATACGTCGCGAAAGCCAAACACCGATGGGCCGGTCACATAATGAGAAGAACAGACGACAGATGGACACTAAGAACATCGGAGTGGATTTCTCGCGAAGCCAAACGTCCCCGAGGAAGACCTCCAACGAGATGGGCAGACGTGTTCGTGGAACGGATGGACCAGCTGAGAAATCAGCTGGATACGATTTTTGCACCTGGAACTCGTGGACGCAGCCACCGACGTCAGCCAAGAAGATCGTGGATGTCATAAGCGAGGGACAGGGAAAAATGGAAACTTCTGAGCTGGGGCCCGCACGTCACGTGAAGCCGGGCCATCTAAGTATCTAAGTAAGTAAGTAATAAACCGAGCATACTGGAAGAAGAAACATTAATGCAATTGCTTACGACTTGGGTCAGCATATCCTCCAGCTCTCTTCCGGCATTCTGCTGCTTTTTCGAAGAAGTTGGTCGCATTACCTAGTGAGCAGATATGAAAATAGCTACATAATTAAACCAATCATAGCATAGAACATAATGGGAACTGCAGTGAAAGAAATTGAGTAATAGTATACCAAAAACCTGTAGCTTAGATAAATAATCAGCAACGGTGCTTAAAGACCTCTGCGATACGCCGTTCGATTGGAGCGCGCTTTCCTCCTGAGGAAACGGGGCTGCTGAGGCTATTTTTGCCTCTAGCAAAGAGGAGAGGAGGAGCTTTGAAACCAAATTTTCAGTATATACTAATCTTTAGGCGTAGAGTAGATTTATGGAAAATTTTGAAAAAATTATATGAATTGAAAGTTTTGACAAGCTCAGCTTGTCATTAGCTTGTCAAATGACAAGCTAATTTAAAAATAAGTTAAGCACGCTCTTCATTCACATAAGTTTTTCATAATTTTTCATAATTTGTTACTTAGTCCTACTGCGCATATACACACCAAGTCTGGCGCGATTTCGTTACCTCTGCGTTGCAAACGAGCCATTTTTCCGTTTCTTTGGTAGCGGGAAATTTTCAGAAAAAAGTTTGCCACGACCTTCAGTCACATAATTTTTCAATGAAACTCCTCAGTCAACCCCTGCAAGCCCGTGTGCATGTACCAAGTTTCATACCATATCG